AAATCTTTAAAAAAAACTACTCTCTATGGCTTACTATTAGAGGTAGAATGAGCAGAGATTTCCCACTATGAACTCATTACTAATTATAAAAAACATTTAAAATATTTTTAAATGAAGTGAAACATGCTAATAATCACCCCAGCAGACCGTTACCCTGAATTAGTTTCTTTATAAAAATTGCCTTTTGATTTTACCTGTCATGACACCTTACAAGGTTAACCTTAGAGGAGCTATACCTCTCCTCATACACAGAAGTATGATATAGTATCTATAGTATAGTGAAATGATTTTTAGGGTCAATCAGATGTTGCTGTTTAGATCATGTTCTATGGGTTGTATTCTACACCAAAAATAGAAGAAAAAAATGTTTAGTGCATGTTAACTTCAGCAGAAGTCATGGAATCCTAGATACATCTAGAGTTCACCAAAACATTGTTCAATTCATGCCACGAAAACCGGTGTGGGCACACTTTCTCTGAAGACCTCACTCCCACCTGAACTGGTTTTCCTTTTCATGCTTGCAGATGACCCCTCCACATTTCCTATTTGTAAGGAAAACAAGGATAGTACTTTAGACCTCAAAGTGCTATCAAGGTGCCCTGGTCCAGTGGCTCAGTGGGTTGGAGTGTTGTCCCATAACTGAAGGGTTGCAGGCGTTGACTCCCACTCAGGGCACACACTTAATGTTGCAGGTTCAACCCTTGGTTTGGGTGTGTACAGGAGGTAACTAATCGATGTTTCTCTCCCCAAGAACAATAAAAAAAAAAAGTCCTTGGGGAAAAATGCTATCAAGTTAAATAGTAAGCACATATAAAAAGCATTATTACGGGATTTCTACCAAAAATAACTTGACTCTGGGTATTCAACTCATTTAATTCATCTATTTTTAAAAGGACTTTTAAAAATTGGGGAAAAAAAGGAAAAAATCAAGACTGTAAGGTCCCTCTTTTCCTTAAGTCTGTTAATTCCATAAATATGGTTAGAAGGCTCCAGCAGAATGTCATTAATCTTGTTCCTTAATATTGTTTAGGATAGTTCATTCATCAATATAAAGCAAATAATGTGTATAGCACAGGAATATATTTTATATATTGAAAATGAAGAGCTATGGAATACAATAAAGAGCTAAATAAATATTAGCCTCGTTAAGTTATGAAAAGGTACTACTAGTTCCCCTTAAACCAACTTTAGATATATTCTGTATATGCAACATAACTGATGCTGGTAAGGGAGAAACAAAGTACTAGGTATATTTACTTGCTAAGAAATATACTCTGGGTTTCTAAAATTTTGTAGTTTTATAAAGTGTTTGCCTTGTTTTACCTATGTATATCGAAAACAGGCTCCATAAGCATTATAAACTGAGTATTTACATAGCTTTGTGTTCTTGACTTTGGTTAAACATCTTAAAAGGTAATTTGTAATAGGAAGATTTAAGTAAAATGATGAAGTTGCGCTTTAGTTTTACTGAAATTAAAAGGGGTGAAATGAATGTTACAACATGAACACATGCATAGTAAATTACTGTAAAGATACTCCTAAAAGCTTTTTCATGTTATTCACTTAAGATCTTTAATTCTTTGATGATCAAATTAAAACATGTACCAAGTGTTTACTACCCTTTAAATGTGACCATCCTTCGCTGGGAACTGGCATGAGAGCTCACTGGAATTCCATTTGTTATCCTTGCTTTTTAATAGGTAAAGATCCAGCTGGCTCATCAATAGAGCACTTCATACTAGTATTCCAGTCAGGAGCAATTCCATATCCAAGCTAGAAAAACTCAAAGGACTGCTGAAAGTTGATTATGAATGCCCTGGAGACACAAGGTAACAATTAGTTTTGCTATGTAAACTAGTACAAATCCTGAACAATATAATCTCTTCTAATTATCACTACTATTGGAGGTAGGGGTAATCCAAAAAGAGTGACCCAAGACTTTCTGAAGTAATTCAGAGTCTTTTCACTGTAAACAGGCACCCTTTCCAGAAAGATTTGTGTGCACATATGAAAAGAGAATTAAAAAAATTACTTTCAGTACCAATAAACTCTGGATTATTCTAATTCTGAATTAAAACTTAGCCAAATACTGTTTTATTTTCAAGTACTTTTAATGAAATAATTTCAATCCATTTTTAAATTCGAAGACCCAATATAATTTATTGCATATATCATATGTTCATCACTTTGAAACCAGTTTAGAAGAAATCGCTACCTGGTTTAAGTAATGTGGAGGTTTAAATGCTTGCCTGCAGATGAGTACCCAGAAAGAAGATATAAACCATTTTCATGGGAAAACATGCATGCATTTATTTTTAAGAATTCCCAATAAGGGGGGGAAAAATTCAACATCTTTAAAAATGTGTTTATTTTTTTAAAAAATCAGTTGTGTACAAAAGTGTTTCGTAGTTTTCTCAAGACAAATACCCAACCCTCCCACAGCCCACCCTGCTTCATGGTCTTTCTGGTAACCCACCCATTTTCCCCATACAGGAAGTTAACGGCTCAAGATAGACCCTCCTACAGAATTTATCATCACTAACAGATGGTTTAGAATAGAGATCTAGAGAAGCTAACAAGCAAGGTTCTTTCTTGGTGAGGTTAATGAGAATCCCTAAAATGGCAGTAGACTTCCAGCAGACACCACAACAAAGCACCATCAATTGCTGAAAGCTAAAAAATAGACATTATTTTCAATAGTATTTCATTTTCTATTGGAAAAGTCTTTAAATTACATTAAATAAGTCTCTTTCCCCCCAAAAGAAATAGTCTAGCTTTTATTATGATGCCTGTAAAAATTAGGTAACAGCAAGCACACAAGGATCAGTTAACAGCACAGTGCAATGATTGGTATCCACTCATCCCCTAGAATCAAACTGATAAACTGTGCCACGCCTGATTTTATATATCTATATATATACACACATAGATATATAAAATCTATCTATATATCTATATATATGAAATCTATATATAGTAGCATGGTTAAAACAACCAAGTGTTAGGTGACACATTCTCAACTTATATTTAGGTGATGGTCACAGGTTTATGAAAGTAGCAGTCCAATAAAGCTGTAACAGAACAAACAGGACAAGGGAGATACTGACATTCTCCTACCCCTGTGCCACAAGATTTTTGATCCATATTGCAACAGTGCAAGTAGAACATGTGACATAATATGTAGACACTGCTGAAAAGTTGCATTTGGGGAAAAAGGCTATTTATCAGTAAATACTACTTCAAGTTGCCTTCTTCCCTAGTGATAGTAAATAGCTGATATTAAGCATTCATTTTAAACTGGTACTGAAAAAATGGAAATGCAAATTTTTAAAATGAATGGTTTGTACCCTGGAATTGAAAGTTCTTGAACTAGAAAAGTGATTAATATAACATCATTGTAAAAGTCCAAGAAATAAAGTTAACTGTAAACAGACGGCTTCCTTTTTTATATCCATTGTTTTCACGTATGTACAAGTATACCTGGCTCCAACTCTTCCCTGCCCGAACCCATCTTAAATCTTTGAAACGACAAAATGCTTTATTTCCTCTGTTGCTACAAGATTGTGGAACATCTTACTCCTACTGCAGTTTTAAAAGCTCAAATCAGGCTTACACTTAGAGCCAAGATCTACTTTTCACATTGATAAACTTATTAAGCAGCCTAAACAGTAACATGATATGCTACATTCTGTAGTGCATAAATAAGCAATATCCACTTTAACTGCCAATTCTCAGATACTTTAAAATGTTATTTTGCATAGTTTTAAGTGCCACCAACAATCACAAATGTGAAATACTCCCCCCCCAAAGTCTTCATCGATTATTCTCAAAAACAAAATACTCAGAACCCTAACATATATATATATATTTGAACATGTTATTGTGTTTAAGTAAACCTTAGCCACAATTCCAAACATTTGTGGGAGCCAACTCAGAGAATCTAATTTAGTGAAAGTTCCTCAAATATTTGTAACTAGTTACTGTATATTTATTTGGGTCACAAGTAGCTATTCATTCAGTAATCTGTACTGAAATACTATACAGCTAATTATTTGTTGTTTTAAAAGTCAGGCACATACTCATGAAATAGACCTGATTTCACTAAAAGTCTATTGTGTTATCAATGACTTCTAGCAAATCTGCCTGCCCTAAACAGGGTATCATTAAATGTATTTTTAACCATAATTTTTGAGGCCTTTAAAACAGAAAAATCATAAAAAATTGAGAATTGTAAAAATAATTTTCACCAGGGTACCTTTTTTCCTATACCTGTACTTTTAATGTCCTTTTCCCAAACACGTAAGACCAGGGTGGTGGTGGTGGGGGTGGGGCATACCTTAATTTCTATGTTTAAGGAAGTAAACCTACCTACAGAGAAGTGGGAAGAAAACAAAACAGGATGGCAGTGGGAAACGTTCCAGAAAGGGAGATTATCACATTAAATGAAAATGAGGTAAATTTTGAAATGAAAAATCCATTATGGAGAACCTCTCATACTAATTTCCTGGGCACTGGGATGTTGACTTAGATGAATTAGATACCCTATAGGGCTAATGTGCATAAAAAAACCAAAGGCAAGGTTTAGTTGCCTCCCAGAGCTAAGTATGTAATGCTTGACATTTAGTAACCTCTGAGTTTTCTCCTTTGTCTAACCACAGAACAATTAAATATACCCTGAAAATATAGGCAAATAGTAAACTGGGTAGATGTTTCATATTTAAAATAACCCAAATATTACCATTAACAAGCTGCCCTCCACTAAAATAAAAAAATTAATTCTAATCAACAATGCAACAAAACTGTCCACACTTGCACACAATTTCAACCTTACTTTAAAATATAAAGAAAAAGTACAAGGTTTTAGTTATTTAAAATAAATAAGAAAAATCTTGTTTCCTTTGGCATCTTTGGAAAGTAACTAAACTATGACAATTAAAGGAGGTTGATTGTATCAAGAAATTTATGCTTAAGCAAACAGAGAGAGAAAAAAACATAGCAACTTGTGTTTAGTATGCAATAATATCAACTACAAGAGTTTACTATTGATTAGGAAAGCCTTACAAGTTTTTGGAAGAACCATCACATCTTTAACATTACAATATATTTAACAATGGTTTCTTTTATTGCTTCTAAGATTATTGAGAAGTCAAATGAAATTATGCTAGATTTATGGTTCAAAATTGTTTCCCAAACACTTAACAATTATAATTTAGGATAAATAACACTTGAAAAAAGCAAACCTTTTATAATAGGACTTTCAATATACAGCCTTACTTTAATTCATTCTGGTTCTATTACATTTTTATTATTTGCATTGGTCCTGGATATTTAATAAGCACTGTGTTTCTATGTATAGAATTGCCTGCATAAATCCATTTCTACCTTCACAAAATGGTCACGTTAGTGTTTGAGCTGCAAAACTAATAATTTTGAAACTTTAGAACTTAGAACAAAATGTAACTTTTATACGAATAGGAAGTCTGACTATGTACAAGGTAAAGTTTTCAATTTTCATATTATCAGAAACATCATAAAGAAAGCTAGATTTATAACACACTTCTATTCCTATGTGCATCTGAAGTATGTACAGTAAAACACCAACACAGCTTTCATGTGTAAATAGGGGGAAATGTAAGCAAGAGTGACTTTTAAAGTATCTAAAAAAGCAATCTCTATAAAGCCAAAATTAGGCTAAAAAACAAAAAACAGTTGATTTCATCCTTTCAAGTTCTCAAAGAAAAATTTCATCAGCTTAAAAGTAGAAAGACGTCAAATTCACTTGAAAAAACTTAGTTGGGTTCTTTCATTAAATCTCGGGAATATTACAACATCAAGTATTTACCAGTTTTGCAAGAGAAACAAAATTGGCAGCTCCATTTCTACACTACTAGTTAACATAGGAACGTTTTTAAGAGTAAAGAATTGTGACAAAACATTCCACAAGGATGACCTAAAAATGGAGCAAGGGATACTGCCCCTCGGCACATTTCCCAAAGAATTTACTATTAGAGTATTTAGCTTAGCTGTGTGTGTAAGAGGGGGAAAATAAATATGGTGTCCCAAGTTGCTGACTAGGACAAAAAGGCTCTGAATAGGTCACCATCTTCAATTCTGGATAAATCTCATACTTAAGAATTCTCAAATGCTTAATATGGTGGTCTTTTCAGCTACCCATTCTAAGAAGTCAAGTACAAGCATGCAAGTAAATTCACAGGCACAGAGGATCCATGTTAAAAACAGTTAAGGTAGCTGTGATGCAACACCAACAATTTGAATGGTCCTGACACACTCAAAGTATTATCTTAATTATTCAACAAAATCCTGAAGCAAACTCTTGCTAGTCTTGGTACACTGCTAAACACTAAAGTAGCATGTTTTTTCCATGGTTTCGCTTAGCTCAAAGAATTTTTACACTATTAAGAAAAAAATTAAAGTATTTCCCCTTTTTAAATTTACACAGACGTTTAATTAGCTTTATTTACAGAGCAGGGATTTTCTTTTTTTTCAGTCTCCAATGGTGCCTAGATAACAACATTAGGCAAGAATGCCAGTTTAAAAGAAATCTATGCAGAATCCTAAAAATAACAGATGTTGATGCTCCTCAAGAAGGGCAAGCTTGACTATATCAGCAGCTCTCTCACTATGCCTCAGTTACTCAGAAGCAATTCTGTTGCAGTCTCTACATCCCATGATTTTGAAGACAAGGCCACTATTACCGCATTCTGTAGAGAAAAAAGAGGGACCCCAAAAAAAAATCAAATCTCGAGGAAATTTGTTTTTTGTTTTTCTTCAAGGAAAGATTTAAAAAATATCGAATCATTCACTGTCTTTATATTGACAACCACACCTTGTTTTTGTTTTTATCTTTATCTTTTTATCTTTATACTCGTAGTACATAAAAAGCTTCTAAAACCAATGACTGGAATCAGCAAAATGAAAAGGAAAATCACTGATTTTTAATAACAGAAAGTTCATCTATCAAAATTAAATTTAGAGCCCTGGCTGGGTAGCTCAGTTGGTTAGAGTGTCATACAGATCTGCTAAGATGTAGGTTTGATCCCCAGTCAGGGCACATTCAAGAATCAACCAATGAATGCATACATAAGTGGAACAACAAATCAATGTTTTTCTTTATCTCCCTTCCTCCTCTCTATCTAAAAATCAGTAAAGACATACATATATACATACTAAATTTAGAGTATTTTTGAACCAATTTTGTCAGCCAAGAATTTGCCTCAATCATTTAAAATCGGTCAATATATTGCCCTTGCAGGGTAGCTCAGCTGGTTAGAGCACTGTCCCAATATGCCAAGCTTGCGGGTTTGATCCCCAATCAGAGTACATACAAGTATCAACCAATGAATGCATAAGTAAGTGGAACAACAAATCAACGTTTCTCTTTATTTCAAATAAGTAACATTAAAAAAAATCAATCAATATAACAAAATCAGCATACCTTTATATTACTTACCCTATCAAAGCCCATAGCACATAGATTTTCTATTTTTTTGGTGTATTCTGGACTAGAAACTGGTGCTCCAGCATACACATGTGCCCAGAGTCGGGCTGTCTGTTTGAACATTTCAGGATTTTGTTTGTACTATATGAGAAAAAAAATTGATAATACATGACAATAGAGTTATAACATTCAATATAGTAGCTCAGTTCTAACTGCATAATAACCCGGTTTTTCTAAATAAAACTAATGTAGATTTTAAATGTTACTGATTCACTGTCCACTGCAAATAAACTGTGTCACTCAATAAAAAACTGTTTAACCTGAAGCTGTAATTCTTAAATTATGCTGACAAAAGATAAAAACAAATAACATTTACCAACTCTGATCTCCAGTTTCAACAAAGATAAGTGGCAGAAAACGAACACTAAGTCAAGTGAGATGTTAGAGACTGTTTCTAATTAGAGATGTTCCTAAACACTGTGTTTAGAATTACTAGTTTCTAAAATAACATAGACAATAAATGTGACCAAACTTTTGTATTAACCACAGCTCAGGCTAGAATATACAACTAGACTTTACTGTTTTGCTAGAGCTGTATCAGTGTACAGTAATTTAAGAAAACCCTTACTTAGAGCACATGTTCTAACTTATAGCAAAGTCCTAACTTACAGCACATGTTTTGAGATGATTATGGACTTACCCTAAAACTTCCCACATGCATTGAAAAGAGGTAAATTTATTTTCAAATATTGCATTACTTAATAAAGCAAAGTATGCACTTAACTGTTCAATTTACTTTATTTCCTTTACAAGTTTTATTTATCTTTAATATTTTAAGACTGAAGAGATTTTTACAGCAAAATGATAAATGTAGCTTCTAATATTAATTCTTAACAAGGAAATAAGACAAATTACTCACTTGTTTTAGGAGCTAGAAGAAACCTTTAAGTCTGCCTCAATGTTTGAGGCTCAGAACTAAACAGGAAATCAAAGCTAGGACTCAAGCTAAAATTCTGACTACCAAAAACGAATCAACAGCACATATATATATAACATGTAAAACCATAATTCTACACTTTCTTGAGACAAACAGAACATTTTAACACATATATATAAAAGAAAGAGTGAACAACTTTTCTAGGGAAAAAAGAAGTTTGCTAACAGGGAAGTTTCCTCATATAGAAGAAACATGGCAGATTGACTAAAATGACATATAGAAATGAATACCATCCTGAAAAAGCATGAGTTTGAGGAATAATAAGAATTTAAGAAGTTAAACTGGATTTGTAGATCAAATCATGAAGGAACTCTGCAAAACAAAGAATTTAGACTTACTGAGTAGGTAATAGTAGAGATAGTAAGTTTTTAGTAGTAAAGTAAAATAAGTTTTATACTTTATAAAGCTAACTGGTATCCATACAGAACACAGGGTAAAGAAGAGGCTGAGAAAGGGGAGCTCTATCAGAACAGTAGAAATGAGAAATTTCACAAATAAATAAATAAACAAACAAACAAACAAACAAAACATGTACTGAGCCAGAGAAGTATGGTAACAGGAAGAGTTTGGGGATAGAATCAAGAAGAGGCACTGGCTGTGTGGCTCAGTGGAATGAGCACTGGCCTATAAACTGAACGGTTGCTGATTCGATTCCTAGTCAGGGCACATGCCTGAGTTGTGGGCGAGGTCCCCATTTAGGGGCACACGGGAGGCAACTGAGCCATATTTCTTTCCCACATCGATGTTCCTCTCTTTCTTTCTCCCTCCTTTCCCCTCTCTAAAAATAAATAAGACTTCTAGTCAGTCAAGATGGAGGCTTATGTTAACATGCCTTGCCTACACAAAAAATTACAACTAGACTACAAGACAAGTATCACCCAGAATAGTCAGAAAATTGAGCTGTACAGAAGTCTGACAACCAAGGATTTAAAGAAGCTACATCCACCCAGACAGGTAGGAGGGGTGGAGAGGTAGAGAGGAGTGGAGAGACACAGAGAGGCATGGCAGAGTGGTGCAGAAATGCAGAACTGGCAGTCCCACATCCACATATGGTGGATAAAAACAACTGCGAGGGATACCTTGGGAACAAGGGATCCCAGCCTCAGACCAGATCACCCAGCCCAGCGTTCCAGTACCAGGAAGATAAGTCCTCATAGCTTCTGGCTGTAAAAACCAGTGGGGGTTGGGGCAGTGGAAGAAACTGCGGGATTCTCAGCGGTTTCCTATGAAAGGGCCTGCAATGGACTTAGGACTTTCAATCTCTCTGGGATTTTGCACCAGGCCAAAAGCTGGAAGGGCACCAGTGGCATATCGGGAGAAGCTGAGGTAAATAGTATCAGGGTAAGTCCCAGGAGTCAGCTTTCTCCTGGGCAAAACACTAGAGGCCAGGCATCAGCATTGCCCCCTCTCTGAGCCCTCCTTGACACAGCCACAAAACAGTGACATGAGTTGCCCTGCGCTGGTGATTATCTAAGGCTCTGCCCCGCATAACTTACAGATGCGCTTTTCTACAATAGGCCACACAGCTAAGACAGGGAGTCAAAACGGCTCTACCTAATACACAGACAGACACACAGGGAGGCTGATAAAATGAGGCGGCAAAGAAATATGGCCCAAATCAAAGAACAAAACAAAACTTCAGAAAAAGAACTAAACAAAATGGAGATAAGCAACATATCTGATGCAGAGTTCAAAACACTGGTTATCAGGATGCTCAGTGAACTCACTGGCTACTTCAAAAGCATAAAGACTCACGCAGAAATGAAGGTTACACTTGAAATAAAGAAACATCTATAGGGAACCAACAGCGGAGGGGAAGAAGCCAAGAATCAAATCAATGATTTGGAACATAAGGAAGAAAAAAGCATTCAAACAAACAGCAAGAAGAAAAAAAATTTAAAAAAAAACAAAAAACAATAAATGAGGATAGGCTAGGGAGCCTCTTGGACATCTCCACATGTACTGACATCCGAATGAGGGGTGCTAGAAGGAGAAGAGGAAGAACAAGGAATTGAAAACTTATTAAAAAAAAATTTAAAGAAAATTTCCCTAATTTAGCAAAGGAAATACACATACAAGCCAAAGAAGCACAGAGAGTCCCAAACAGGATGGACCCAAACAGGACCACACCAAGACACATCATAATTAAAATGCAAAGGTTGAGGATAAAGAGAAAATCTTAAAAGCAGTAAGAGAAAAGCAGATAGTTTACCTAAAAAGAAGGCCTGTAAGACTGTCACCTGATTTCTCAAAAGAAATTTTGCAGGCTAGAAGGGATGAGCAAAACATATTCAAAGTGAGAAAAAACTCATGAACCGATAGCCTAGATTACTCTATTCAGAAAAGCTACCATTTTTAATTGAAGGGCAGAGAAAGTGCTTCCCAAACAAGGTAAAACAAAGGGAGTTCATCATTACCAAGCCATTATTATATGAAACGTTAAAAGAATTATAGGAGAAAAAAGAAGATCAAAACTATAAACATTAAAATGGCAATAAATTCATAACTATTAGCTGAATCTGAAAAACTAAGTCAACAAGAAGAACAGAAACAGAATCATGGATATGGATATCATTTGGAGGGGTATCAGTTGAGAGGGGGAAGGAGGAAAATGAGGGAAAAGGTGCAAATCAGTAGGTACAAAATAGAGAGGGGGTGTTAAGAACAGTATAAGGAATGGAGTACCAAAGAACTCATATGCATGACCCATGGACTTGAATTAAGAAGGTACTGCTGAATAGAATAGGGAGTACCACGTGGAGGAGGCCAAAGAGGGAAAAACTGGTACAACTATAATAGCATAATCAATAAAATATATTTTTAAAAAAAGAATCAGCCGGTGCCGATTCCAACAAAGGATTTCAAAGTAGACATCTTGGGACCTCACAAATTCAAAACACTCTGCAAAATTTTTTGCTGGAATCAGCATCAACAAGAGAAAAGGATACATACACAGATAAGAATTCCAAGTCTGTGACTTAAATATTTAACTAAGGGTCAGGTGTTTGAAAATTTTCATAATGTTTTTAAAAAATTTATCTAGCATATATCCAGTTAGGCTAGAACATTAAAAATCAAGAAAGGAAACCATTTCCAAGTTTAGTTCCAATAGATGTATGCTCATATAGTAACACTGCAAACCACTAACGCAGAAACTAAAAGGTAAATATAAGAGACTTTGAAAAGCAGATAAGCAAACCTTACCTGATTTGCTACTACTGCATCTTGAGGGTCATCTGGTTCTGCAGCTGCTAACAGTGCTTGCAATGACAATAATACCGTGCGGAGAGTCATTGCTGCTGCCCTAAAATTAAAGACAGGAAAAGATCAAGTTAAGAATGCTCCGCATGACAAAAGCAAAGTGGATGTTTTCTGAATAAAACATAGTAACTACAGGAATGGAAAGTAATCCAGGTTTTACCTTAATCATATAATTAAGTTATAGAATTTATAATTACATATCCACCTATCATTTTTTTTCCTTCTTTACAATGAATGAATTTTTCTATGATAATTTTATCATTTTGAGATGACTGCACACAGAGGTCAAAATACAAGGTACAGTCACGAATCACAAAAGTCTTATTAAGAGTAGTTTTTGTTGTTGTTTTTCTTAAAGAGGGAGAAAGGAAAGGAGAGAGGGACAGATGAGAGAGAGAAAGATCATTCAGTTTCCTCTAGAATGCGCCCCCATCCAGGGACTAAACCTGTAAACCAGGCATGTGCCCTAACCAGGAATTGAACCAGTACCCTTTCACTTCATGGAGGGACATTCAAGCAACTGAGCTACACCCATTAGGATGACTACTATAAAAAAAAACAAATGAAAAACCCAGATGAGGAATAACTGGAATTCTTGTGCACTGTTGGTGGGAATGCAACAAAAACAGTATGCCAATTCCTCAAAACAAACAAACAAAGCAATTGCAGTTCTGGACATATATCCCAAATAATTTAAAAGCAGGGACCCGTATTCATAACCAGTATTATTTACAACAGCCAAAATGTGGAAGGAATTCAAGCTTCCATCAATCAATAAATGAACAAAATATAGTATACACATACCATGGAATATTATTCAGCCTTAAAAAGAAAGAAAAATCTGTCACATGTTATAAGATGGATGAATCCTGAGGACACTCTTAAATGAAGTCAGGAATCAAAAGATAAAACAGTATGACTCACAGAGACAGAATGAATGATGGTTGCTATGGGCTGGAGGAGGGGGGAATGGGGAGCTAATGGGTAAAGAGCCAGTTTTGCAAGATGAAGAGTTCTGGGAGGATTGTGAAGATGCATGCTTTGCGGCGCTGGCAGTCTTTTTCACACCACTCTGGAGCCTGAGAATAAAGCCAATAAGGAGAACAGAGTAGAGGCATGGGAGGAGGCTGTGTCCTAATTAACTCTCTTGAAAACCTCGGTTTCAAGTAGTACCTGAAACTTTAATTTTCCTTGGATTTTTATTAATATGAAAGAGAGACATTTATTGAAGAGGACACAAGACACATTGTACATAGGACAATGACACCTCAGTCCCCTTCAAAGTAGGCACCTGGGACCTCAAAACACTCTGCAAAATCCTTTGTTGGAATTAGCATTAGCTGCTCAGTGGTATTTTCCTGAATCTCATCAATGGTCTGAAATCTCTTCCCTTTCAAAGGTGATTTTAGTTTTGGGAAAAGCCTGAAGTCACAGGGCACTAAAACTAGGGTTGTAGGGGGACTGAGTCACCTGGGTGATTTGAGTTTTGCCAGAAAACTCTGTACGAGATGTGATGCATGAGCAGGTGCGTTGTGAAGAAGCTGCCAGTCATAGCTGCCTATAGCTGCTGCACTCTGAATCTGAGTAATTTCCGCAGAGGAATGTTCAAGCTTAACACAAAATGTGATGCAGATTTGTTGTTCTACTTGCTCAGTCATTTTGAATGTGAGGGTCACACAGCATGTAAGCTCACTCAGCAGCGTCTACCACCCCCACTGACCAGTACAGCAATGTCGTCATTGTTTATACATGTGCATTCCAGTCCACGCTCCCTGGCTGCCAGGTTCCAGAGATGTTGTACAAACCATCCTTGTTATATTAACAATGGCTGGACTTTTTCCAGAGAGACCCTGTATATCCCTTTTATATTTTTCAAATATTCTAAAATTATTTATTTATTTATTTATTTGGGGGGGGGGGAGTAGAGGGGGGAAAATTGATTGTTTGCCTCTTGCACATGTCCAGATCAGGGACCCAACCTGAAACCTAGGCATGTGCCCTTACTAGGAATCCAACCATCCTCCTTCAGCTTTGCAGGACAATGCCCAACCAAATAAGCCATACTGGTCAGGTATGTTTCATGTTTTAGATATATATACCTTTTAGCTTGAGTCAACTTGAGCTCTAAGACCCAAGATAAACCATAAAATAGTAATTTAATTTCTTTCCCTGTTTTTGGTTCTGTAAACAATATTTTACTCTCCGTATAAAACAACGGTTAATTGTTGACAGCTCTAAGAAAACTGGTGATTAATAATGGAAATTATCTTCTTCAGAACCTCTAGATTCTAAGACAAATTTTAAAAAATAAAATACTAAAAATCACCTCAGTAGCATTTATGTAACTAGCTGATGTTAGAAAGAACAAGACTGATACTGCATTGAATTCTATGTATTTTGTTTTAAAATATAACAAATTTCTAATACTACAATGATGGACACATGACATTATAAATTTGTTCAAACTCAAAAGAATGTACACTAAGAGTGAACCATAATATAAACTACAGACTTTGGGTGACTGGGATGTGTTAATGTAGGTTCATCAACTGTAATAAACATGCCAGTCTGGTGGAGAATGCTGATAATAGGGTTATGCATGTGTGGGGCAGGGAGTATATGGCAAATCTGTACCTTTATCTCAATTTTACTGTGAACCTAAAAGTGACCAAAAAAACAAACACATCTTAAAAGAGAGGGCATGGTTCTGAAGAATGGTTGTACAACGTGAACATACTTATTGCTCAACTGTATACTTTAAAAGTTATGATTACAATGTTATATGTAATTTAAAAAACAGTTAAGATAGTAAATTTTGTCATATTTTGTAATTTAAAAAAAAGTGATAAACTTCCCTTAGTGATCCATAAGTTATTTTTTTAAATTTTATTTATTGATTTTTTATGGGGGGAGTCATCATTTCGTTGCTCCAATTATTTATGCATTTATTGGTTGATTCTTGTACAGGATCTGACTGGGGATTGAAACCATAAGCTTGGCGTACTGGGACAATGCTTTAACCAAGTGAGCTTCCTAGCCAGGGGTCATAGGTTTTTACTATAAATACTTTCTACTTCCTTTATTTGCAGTATCTTTATTGGGAAGACACTCAAAAACTATTACAGACTCTCTAGAGTTATCAGTTCAAGAATCAGAAACTAAGGACCTTAGGTTGAACATGTTAAAAGGGATTGTTTGCCCTCAAAAAGAGAAAAAAAATCTGGAGCTATAACTTAAGATTCAATTTGTAACAATATCAATGAGAAAAATGCGTAAGTTTTCTACATCCTTGAAAATAATACAATGTTGGGGAGGTGTTTTTAAACCATTAAAAATTAGTTGAATAAAGATATCTGAAAACAAAATTAACAGTAAACAATGACATTGTTTAAATAATTAGTGGCGGTAAAACTATGCCCTGGCTGGTGTGGCACAGTGAACTGAGCGCCAGCCTGTGCACAGAAGGATCACAGGTTCAATTCCCCATTGGAATGCATGCCTGGGTTGCAGGCCGGGCCCCTGGTTGGGGGTGTGTGGGAGGCAACCTACTGATTGGTCTCTCACACATTGACAAATCTTTCCCTTTTTCCACATTTTCCGCCTCTCTAAAAGTAAATAAACAACATCTATAAATAAATAGATATAGATAGATAGATAGTGGTAATAAAACTAATAAATGAAACAGATTCTTCTGGCTTCCTAAACACTATTAACATTTTTGATAGTATAAAAAAATGAGTACATTCATGGGGATGTAAACTATAACATAGAGTATAAAGTCAATAATATAATAACTATGTATGGTGCCAGATGGGTGCTGGATTTACTGGGTGATCAGTCTATAAGTTACATAAACATCTAATCATTATGTTGTACACTTAAACCTCATATATGTCAACTTAAAAATGTTTAATTACTTTTTTTATTAAAATGTGTATGTTTTTGACTATTCTACATTAGTTTTTTGGATCTAAATTTAGTAATGTAAAAACATATACAACTGGAAATAAAGTATTTTTTCCATTTATTCTTTCCACAAAATACTGATTAAATTCATATTGCATTGAGATTTTTAGGATTCAATGTGTCATATTAGCTTAAATCTATTAAAAACAAATCCTGATAAAGCAAACAAATAGAAAATTATTTCAAAATGTGTTAAATTTTAATTAATCAGTGGATGATATAAATGAGTACCATATAAATCTTCTAATTAATTCTGCTCAGATCTCAAATCAATAAGCAGTTAATATGGCTAATTAAACATTCATTCATATGGACTGAATAGGGACTTTTAGCATGTAGAATAGGCATGAGAATTGTTTGTATTGTTAACTAACTTTTCTGTTAAGTATCTTCCAGAACACCATCAATAAATCATCTACATTTATGCAAAACACAATGCTAAAGAGAATGGCAGCTTTGTTGTTTGAATTTTTTAAGGTATAATAAAAATAAAATGCTGTACAGCTGGATTAATTTTTCTATGTGTATATACCCATGCAGCCACCACCTAGGTCAAAATACAGTATTTCAACCACAAAGATTATTTGTGCCCCTCCCAATCACAACACTTACCTACACCCACCAATGTCCTATTTCCTATCACCATAAATTAGTTTTGGCTCATCTTGAACTTTACATAAACAGAATCATAGTGCAGACCTGTTTGTATCTGGCTTTTGTCACTCAGGATGTCTCTGAGAATCATCTATGTTGATTGTGTCAATATACTTTTTCTCTGCTATGTTGTCTTCCACTGTACAATGTGCCATTATATATGCATTCTCTTGTTGATTGACATTTGGATTATTTCTACTGTGAGTAAATCTGCTACAAATATTCCTGTACTAGTCTCGTGGTGGAAATATGCACTCATTTTCCTTGGATTTCTCTTGGATATATACGTAGTAGTGGAACAGAAACAGCTGGTCATCATGAAGGTATAAATTTACCTTTGGTAGCTAGCTATTGATGGTTGAGCAGTTAAACTACATTGTACTAGCAACTCAGGAGAACCATTTACAAGTGGGTAGTGGTATTTAATTATGATTTTAATTTGCATTTCCCTGATGACTAATGAGGTTGAGCACAGTTTATCGATCATCTAAATAATCTCTTAATGCCTGTTTGTGACTTCTGAAAGGGCAGTATCATTGAGAGCAATTTTTATGTGTTGTCATCTTCTTTCCCAGGTAAATAAGACACCTTTAGCCATAATAGGTGAAAAAAAATCATAAAATAATTTCTAAGTAAGCTAAGTTTAGGAGTTAAGACATAAACCACACTAACAGAAGTTGTTATATATTAAAGGTAAATGATTATCCACAAGTATTAATAAAAGACCAAAATGGTTTTCTAGCACACCTGTCTCATATTATTCAATGTTTATTCAATTTATTTTTCCTAAGATTACTATCCTATAGTTTTCTTAATCAAATCCCAGCATTCTGAAGTGTAAATATCCACGCTTAAACATGCATATCCATTAAAAGTCAATTATGCCTCAATGAAGCAGGGGAGGGCAAGGTAGAGAACAAACCCAGGTATATCCAATCTCACTTATTTTATCTGATGTCTTTGACATCTTTTAATATTCTAATTATACAGATATCAAACAAGACTAAAGTCAGCTATTTCCCGTCTTAGAAATGGAAATAGTTGATAAAGTGTTTTAATACAAAAATTCAAGTTCTCTTCCTATATATAAATATTGTATATACCACAATCTTTCAACTATCTATGGAGAGATACTCAGAAGTGGTAGTCCTGACGGCTTAACTGAGTAAAAAGGAGAGTGGAAGATTTTAGTCTGGGGCTTCATTTGTTTTTAAGGGGGGAGCGGTTACCATTCTGGCCATTTGAGAAGAGACTGAGTAGGGCAAGGGGCCAAGCTACTGCAAACATTCAGGCAAGAGGTAATGTGACTTGGACCAGGGTGGTAGTAGTGAAGCTACTGCTAAGATTTTGGAAGTTTCACCAATAGAATTTGCAGACAGAGCACAGAGTACCTGAGAAAGAAGAAACAAGGACCATGACGAAGTTTGGGCTGAGCAACTGCAAGGATGTGGCTGCCAACAGCTTAGATGGGTGAAGTAGGTTTTTGGTTAGGGGAATATCAGTTCAGTTTTCAATCAATTTACGTCTGAGATGTCCATTATATACTCAAAGGTGTTTAAACAGGCAATAGAACATGAGTTAGAGATCATGAAAGAAAAATTTGTGAGCTGCTAGTATACAAACCATACAGTTATGAGATCAGATGAGCCCACCAAGGAAGTGAGTATAGATGGAAAGAAGCAGAGGTCAGGACTTAGTCCTGAGGCATTCTCAAGTGTAAAGCTCCAGATGAGGGAGGAACTAGTTACAGAGTCTGAGAGTGGGCAGAGGTAGAACGGGAGAACAGAACTGATATCCTGAAAAGCAAGTGAATAAAAGTAAGATACCTCTAACACTGCAAATATTCATTAATTATCTCTGAATGATAGAGGCAGGGGCGTTGGAGATGACTTTATAGGTAAAAACACTGAAGCCAACAAATTCAGTAAGTTGCAAAAAGTAAAAAAATCAAATGAATAACAGAAGATAAAATTAGATATATTCCACACTGTTCGATATTTAACAGTATGGAATACAGATCAGGATACTAGATCCCAAGAGATGACATACTGAGAGAGAGGCCTTACTCAGATGTGCTATTAGAATGGAAAAAGAAAACAAAACCAAACCAGCAACTCTTGCCTGTTTATCCAGTTACTAAATAAACCAAATCGCCCATACACTAAATGTTGTCATTCCTGTTTAACCTTGTTCAGGTTCCATTCTTTTCCTTTAACGAAATCAAATACATAACTTATAACTGTTGTTTCCCACTCCGATGTCTTTTTATACCTGTCTTAATCTTTCCATCCAAGTTTCAGAATATACCAGACTCTTGTCTAAGAGAATTATATAAAACAATTCATTTAATCCTGTCAACAGCCCTATGAAGTAGGTATTAACCCCATTTTTTCTCAGATGAGGAAACCAAGGCACAAAGCCTAGGTAATGTGCTCCAGTGCTCCAGACTACACAGCTCAGTAAACTGAGCAGAGCCAGGGTCTGAATGTAGTAGCACCATTTTGAACACAATGGCTAAAGAGTAAGAACTCTTAAAACAATGTTAGGATCAAATCAGACAAAAATATGTGAAAGCACTATAAATGACTGTACAAATGAAGGTATCACCTACAAAAGTACTCCTTCCTGAGATCTGAAAACCTAAACTGTGCTCAATTTAGCACTGTCCACATTCCATTCAAACCAGCGCTATTTCAACTTATTTTTTTTTTAGTCTTTCACAAATATCTTGAGATAACAAAGAATCAAATTTACCAAAATACATAATGACGTCCAAGGCTTTTCAAGAGATAAAACTAGCATATGAAATACAGACCTAGTAAGCCTGTATTTTATAGACTGTGATCTCGATTATAACACATTTTCAATTATATACTGAAGTACATAAGTTTTAAAATTATTTCCCGAATAAGAGAAATTATAATATATGCTTATGCTTTGAGACAGTTACACTAAATTTAACACTCTAAATATAATCTTGGAATTCATATGGGAAAAGGAGAAGGTAAACTGAAAATCTCTTACCATTGATCTTTCAGGATATCCAAACAAATAGCCCCTGTGACGGAACTAATATTAGGATGCCATATTTTAGTGATAAACCGGACCTAGAAATATAAAGTACACTTGAGTTTTAAAGTAACAGAAAAAAACACATACAGTTTAAATAGAACTATGAATAAGAAATATGCAGATTAAAAAAAAAAGTGTCCATCTTACCTCATTTTGCCTAAGTGAAGGGAGTGAAGACAAAGCATTAAGTAGTAAGCCAAATGTTGTTACTGACATATACTCTCTTTAAACCTTTTAATAAATTCTCTGCCTTTAAAGAAACTCAATAGTTACTAGGTGTTCACAGATAGTAAACGGAAATGTTTTTACTCTGAAGTAGGGTAAAATCAGTAGTACATGGAAGCACAAGTGGCTGTAAGACTGCTCCCAATATTTCTGTAGCAATTTTTTTCTCAAATTCTTAAAAAAAAAAAATCCAACAAGTATTTGCACTGAAGAAACACTGAGGTTTAGAGTTTAAGATACTGATCCGAAATAAAGTAACTAGTCAGAAATAGGGCAAAGTACAAACTCATACAATTTGATATCAGGTTCTGAGTTTCTAGTCACCTATTTGTCTTACCATGGAAGAATAAAAAGCCAATTAAGTGAAAGAGCTACCTCTGTCAGAGCATTATGAAATGAAATCTAATTCATCAGATCTTTCTATGAGTTTTTTGAGGAGGAGGATTATAATAACTGATATATATGATAGTCATCTGAGTCAAAATTTCTTTACATACGATAGTCACCTGAGGCAAAGTTCCTTAACACTTAAGAGAATAATTACCATGAGTCAAGCAATGTTCTAAATATTTTGCAAAAATTAACTCATTAGTATATGCTCCAAATCTAAGATGTTTATGGAAAGATGCTAAACAGCTTCCACTTCTTTCCTTGAGACTTGATTTGTCTATTCTACCTTGCTCTACTTCCTCATCTACTCACTCACTAACATCTATGCCATTTGAAAAAGCTCTTTAGGTCACCAATGACTTCAAAACATTTAAAACTAATGGATACTTTTCATGCCTTGACCCTTTTAATTCTTAAAATAATCAATATTTTCAATGATATCTACTTCTCTCCATCCACAGAACCACCATTTCATTAAAGGAGATGATCATTCTTCACATGAGTTACTGTTGACTTTACTGCCTTTGGGCCTGCTCCCTCCAACCCATTCTCAACACTGAAACCCAAGAAAGCCCTTTAAAACACATATGATTCATGTCATAAACCACTCTGCTTAAGGCCCTTTAATGACTTCTCATTCTCTTTGTGTAAGACCACATTTGTAAACTGGCCCTAACCTACCCCTCAAATCTCACTTCTACCTCATATTCCATGCTTTTCCTCAACAAGTCATATTGAAAGAAAGAAGGGAGGGAGGGAAGGAGGGAGGGAGGAAGAGAAAGGGTTTTCTTGGTCTTTGGGCCTTTATACAGATTGCTCCTCAATAACAAACGTCAAACACCCTTTTTTGCTAACTCAAATTTATATTTCAAGTTTCAGCTTCCACATCACTTCTTCCAGATCCATTCCCACAGCACCCAGTACTTTCCTATGGTATAGTATTGATTACACTTCCATAATCTTTTACTTGTGTGGTTTTTCCTGAGAGGCTGGTATCTATCCTGCTTACTAGAGCATCACAACTATCTAAAGTACTTCATATTGAATGAACATGCAATTAACATTACAACAAACCCATTATTGTGGGCCAAAGAGTATCCCTCTCAAATACAGCATAGGTCAAATAAGACAGGCTATATAGAGCTTATGTACAACAAACATTTCTTCATAACAGATATAACAATATTCACATCTTAATTTTTACCATTCATTGATTTCAAAATATAATTCTTATATCAGAATTTCAATAACTCAGACATCACAACCTTTTGTGACTTTCGAACAAAAGTTGGTTCAATATTCCAACAAGATTGGAAAACACAATTTTAAATTACTACTAATGATGTCAAAAGATTTATAGTTTAGGCAAGTGATCTAAGGCTATGTGAACTGTATCTTGCTTTTTAAAGAAGTCTTCAATACATGATTTCTATGGACACTATATGAAAACAAATATGCATATTCATGAAGGACCAAAAAAATTATTAAACTATTTCTTACTCTGTACTATACAGTTAGGAATAAATACCTTTGATTTGCAGATGATCTAATAATGAATTTAATTTTCAGAAGGATATTCCATTATCCACAAGTAAAAATGTAATTCTAGACTTGGGGTGGTTGAACACACAATACAATAGACAGATGATATATAACAGAATTGTACACATGAAACCTATATAATTTTATTAACCAATGTCACCCCAATAAATTCAATTAAAAATAATAAAGCTCTTATAAGTAGTTCTTATGTAATCTACCACTCTATCTCCTATTCTGCTCTTCCTTGTTATTCTTTATCATCAACTATCTCCTTATTATTTCACTTCTTTCTCTACCTCAAGCCTTAATCTCACCCACATATACAGTGGTACCTGCATATATCCCTGAATTATATCCCATTGTTCTATACCCAATTCACATCCCATCCCTGTCTTGTATCAACAAAAACGTAAAATCAAAAGAACTTGGAAGGGATGAAGTAAAAGAGTTAAATAATCTGATTACAAAACAGATACAGAATGGTTTAAAGTACTAAAACATTTACTGATAACAATTCAAGTCTCTATTTTCACAAATGAAATTAATACTAGCCTCATTTGGGTACTTCATAATATTCATTAATTTTGAGGAGCACTCAAAGATCTTATTACTTAACACCAGGTACACAGTGTTACCCAACCAGAATAAAAGAAAGGGACTATTCTTAGTTATTAGCATATAGATGATATTGGCAACTATTTCATGGTAAACACTAAGTCTATGTTTCCATAGGGAATTTCCAGTTTCAAGCTTGGAACTCAAGAATGCTATGATATTAAACCATCTTTAACTTACTGTAAAAAAAGAAAATGCTATTTTATTTTAAACATGCATGCGTGGATGAGAAGACTCATTAGAAGTCATTAGCATTGGTACTTATACTCAACTTGACATAGAAAACATAAACATAGCAAAGTATGTTTACAACATCAAGGATAAACAGGAAAATTTACAACATAATTTCCAATACATAACTGGACAAATCACTGAGCTATAGTTTTCCTAATTTAATGGGTTTTTCGTTAAAAGAATATATATTACAATTTACCCTAGAAATAACATTGACTATATGCATTCAAATCCCTTCCAAACTATATTCAACTGATTCTAAGATCATCTAGAAGTAAACCTTCTGCTCTTCAGGTCAGTAATTTATTGCGGAATAATAAACAGAAAATACTCTGAGGCCATGTTAAGACAAATCAATGTAGGTTTTCAATTTTGTGCAGTTTTAGCTCCACAGTAGCAAGAAGAGAATATAACCAACTAACTTCAATACTTTTGCCTTGTAAAGCTAGTTAAACTTAAGCTGACATATTAAACATACATGAACACAATTCAGTAAGAAATGTACAAATATTCCCCATTCTTTCCATTATATTTACCAATCACTAAAAATTTCAAATCAATATATACATATCTAGAATATATTTATCATATCATTAACTTGTATTGCAAAAGCTTAATGCCATCAATGGAATGAGTACTGTATTTAAAATACTAAATTCCATCTACTGCACAACTAACTGGATGAATCCGGAAGGAAACAAATTTGGATTGACTAAAGGAAGACCCTTCTACATCTCGAAGCTACCTCAATCCAGAGTGGCTGAAATTAGGATAGTGGCCTGCAGAGCAAAATGAGTTAGTAGCAAAACATCAGACAGACCTTAGTTCTTATGTTTCGAGACTATTTTTCTCTTTGAACTAAAGAGAAAAAGGTGGTCCTTGGAGTTAAAAAAAAAATGATTTCAAATATTAAATGAAATAATGCCTAAAATAGTGCCTAAAACAGAGCCAGGGCTATGTAATCACTTTGAAGGTATAATAAAGGCTTTATAGGTTCATAATTAAACACTTTCACTGAGACCAGTTAAGTGCAAAACCTCACGGATTTTAGTATATTCACAGAGTTGGACAGCCATCACCTCAATCTAATTTTGACCATTATCATCACCTCACAAGGAAACCACATAACCATCAGCAGCCACTCCCTATTCCTCTGCGTGCGCCCTAGTTTTAAGGAACCACCAATCTACTTTTGTCTCTATGAATCTGGTTCTTCCACTGTTTCATATAAACTAAATCATACAATGTACGGCCTTTTGTGTCTAGCTTCTTTCATTTGGCATTGTTTCCAAAGCTCTATCTTCCTTGTACTACATCAGTATTTCATCCATTTTTTATAACCAAATAATATTCCATGATATGGATAATACCACATTTTATTTATCCATTTAGTTCATGGACATTTAGGCTGCTTTCACTTTTTGTCTATTATGAACAGTAATGGTATAAACATTTTTGTACAAGTTGTTGTGAACATATGTTTGCATTTCTACTGAGTAAAAACCTAGAAATAGAACTGCTAGGTCAAAAAGTTAACTATACATTTATAATTTTAACCAAATTATTTCCCAGAGCCCATTCAACATTTTACCTTCCCACTAGCAATGTATGAGAACCTTGATTTATAGAAGAAATTTAAGTGTCAATGCTACCCTATTTTAAAATAATGTTACAGAACGAAGCCAAGAGATGACTTAAAGAAGGGCTTCTTAAAGCGGTAGTCACTGGTTAAGCTAGCTAATACTTCTGAGTACTTACTGTTCTAAGTATTATTTCATTAATAAAAAATTTCATTTCATTAAATCATCAATTATTCAATACACAATTATTTTATTTACCCTTTAAGAAAAAAAGACTGAAAATTAAACATGACATGCCATCCATTGAAAGATACATCCTGATTTCAGAGGTGTTAAAAATGTTTCAAAAAATTACTAAAACAGTTCTTTACATTAACTCCTTTAATCTTTACAATCCTATGACAGCACTTTATAGATGGGGATACATGGCAGGTAGTTTCCTTTAAAATCACAGTTAAATGGAAGAAGAAAGATTTAAACTCTGGTTGACTGTTCTTGTTCTTGGTAGAGTCATATTCACTCTCTCAGAGATCTTGTCCTTACTCCTTCATCAGGATCACGGAAGTGGAGCACAGTGAGCTTTAGGGGATTTGGGCTCTATTTAACATCTAGTGTAAGTTCTCTCATTTATTAGGACTATTACAAAGACTGTTTCAGAAAAGGCTTATAAAATTCTTAGCACAAAACAAGTGACAGCTACTACTATCATCATTTAATAGTAAAAATGTAGTTGAAAAAATGTGGTTGAGAGTAGGCTCTCTTGAGGTCTTTTATTTCAAATTCATTTCCATTAAAAAATTAGACCACAAGGAAAATCTCTAAATCTTCTTTTCTTAAATTCATGATATTCTACAATTAAAGTACCCTCAAGTGACTACTCATTGTAATGATAATATTGACAACCATTGATTGAATCCAGCAGATGGTAACCAGGATGATGATGAAAATTAACCAGGATGAGGATGAAAACTAAGTCACAAACATAAGATGAAAGCTTAATATTGGATGTGTCTACGTGGTCATATTGAAAAACTTCTGGTTTTTTTGTACTTCACTATATAACATTCACAATTTCTACAACAAACACAACTACTTTCATAATTTAACAGAAAGAAAAAAAAGAAATCAACCATGCTTAAAAGGTAGAAACAACCACAATGTCCACAATGGCTAAATGAATAAACAAAATGTGGTACACATGTACAGTGGAATATTATTTAGCTATAAAATGCAATGAATTTCTGACACATGCTATAATATGGATGAACCTTGAAGACATTACGCTAGCCCTGGCCAGGAAGCTCAGTTGGTTAGAGTATCGTCCTGATACTGCAAGGTTGCAGGTTCAGGTGCCCGTCAGGGCACATACAACAATCAGCCAATGAATGCATAAATAAATGGAACAAATCAATGTTTCTCTCCTCTCCCTTCCTCTCTCTGAAATCAATAATAATTAACAAAAAATACATTACTCTAAGTGAAATAAGCACACTAGAAAAGGACAATGTTGTTAAGACTCCACAGAGATGAGATAGAGTGGTTACCAGGAGCTGGGGGCAAGGTGTAGCATGAAGTTATTATCTAACAAGAAAAATGAAAAAATTGTAGAGACAGATGGCGGTGATGATTGCACAACAATGTGAATATACTTAATGCCACTACTCTACACACTTAAAAATGGTTAAAATGGTAAATTTTATGTTAGTATATTTTACCAGTATTTTTTTTTAAATCAACAAGGCTTATCAAAAATAGATGTACATATGCAACAGAATAATAGGCACCCCAAATTGGCAGCTGACCCCAACTCACCCTGGAATTTCCATTACCATGTCTACTCTTAAATAGGAACAACCAGAGATTAAATAAGCAAATTCCAGAACATTTCCTTAGTGCAGACATAGTCCCTCTCCTCAGGAGCATAAAAGCTAGTGAAAGATACACACCCCCAAATAATACAATACTGATTCTGTATCTGTTTTGGTACCATATAAATGATATAAAAGGCTATTGAGAGTAGGAGAAGCAATTTGATGGGCACAACTTAATAGAGGATGTGATAATTTACCTAGATCTCAAAAGGCAGAATTTTAAATGATAGAGACAGTGGTTCAAGAGAAAATGACAGAAAAGTGTGAAAGAATAAGCAACATCTACAAATAACAAATAATCCATGTTGACAAATGAGACCCATGTTGTAGATAAGGGTTGCAAAAAGTCAGTACAGAAAAGAAGACTGGGGTCAGACTGGGGTAGGAGGTTTTAAATGCTCAACTAGGGAGTTCAGACTTTATTAACAAAAAAGAAAAAAAACACGATCAACATTGTACTTTAGGAAGATTTATAGAATGGTAGTGCAAAAAATGAACAGGACTGACAAAGATGAAGGGTGACTAATTAATAGACAAAATAGGTAAGTAGTAAAATTAAATGCCTAAAGTGATGACAACAAAAGTAAAAACACAAAGGAAGCTGTTCAGGCAAAACGTAAGTTTATGTTAGTTGCCTGTGTTATATAATTCTAGGGTATTCCATTTCCTCTTTTAACACTCATCACAGTTGCAATTATTCGTTTATTATTTTTTTCCCCTGCTAGAGTATGAGCTCCATGAAAACAAGGGCAGTATAAATCTTATTTATTGGTATACTGGCACAAAATATTCAAATAATTGTTGAAAAAATTCAGAATATATTCTTCCCTAAAAAATGGACTTCTTTGAGGAAGGTAAGAATTTGTATAAGAATTCTCTATATCTAGGAACACTTCAAGTTTTTCCAGAACTAGAATTTAAACCATTATTAGATGCACATCCTGTTATTCCTGTCTAGAGCCACAATTAACTGCCTCTGAGTAAGCTTGCTTTTCATAATTCTAGAAGCAAACCATCTTCCTCCATTTGAAATCTGTCCACATTAAATTTACACAGTCAACAACTCAAAACTTTAATTTTAATAAGCACTAAAATATATATTAAATAAATGGACCAAGAGAAACGTTTCAGAAGTTCATGCACAAAAATAGGCTTACAATACCTTAGGGGGATTAAATGGGTATGTTTCTGGTATTTTTATCTCTAGTTGATATCTTCCTCCTAAAAAAGGGGAAAAGAGAAAGTTAAGAATGCTGCTCATCTCAAATTAAATATGTAAAGCCAAATATGTAGTATTTTATATACAATTACAACATATTCACTTTAAAATTGCAACCCAAAAAGGAAATAATCAAAAGCATTATTTTTTAATTTAAAGGTTACTTAAAGAATACAGAATACCCATTTTATACAACTGTGTTAGCTTATCAGTGAGTAATAGGACTAGACATAAATACATTAAATCCACAGATAATCCAATGCCAAAGATTTCGTTGGGATAGTTAAGTAGTATAGATTCTGCCTGTTATTTCCTCTACACCACACTGACAGGAGTTGCTAAATAACAGGAGGAAAAATGGCAAAGAAGAAAAAGAAAATAAAAACAGAAAGAAAGTAAGGAGGTATAAAGGCACAGATGGTGTCAAGGAAAAGGATATACAGATTATGCCATAAACTGAAAAAAATCTACTTCTAGCTGGTCCTCTCAAATGTGAAAATATCCCAAACTTTTAACTTGTGCCCTAAATTAAATGCCCACACTGCTTGTTAAAATTGTAAAAATAAAATTCAACAACTCTGGTCTAAAGACAACACTATTCTCTGTCTCTAAATGAGAATACAAAATGCAAAACTTTACAAAGAGATTGTTCTAACCATAATGTGTTAATAGAAGGCGACATTCTGTTTTGAAGTTATCTTGAGCAATTAGCAGCTGTATTCATATTTTTTAAAAGTTTATTTAGCTTCCCATACCTGGAAGGTTAACTGCCTTTCAGGAAGCTCTGAAGGGGAAAGTCTTGCACTGGATGAGAAGCTGGATTTGAATCTTAACTGTAAGGAACCTTCCAATTCTAAAATTATACGATCCATTAACACAGAATATTCATTATTCTAAAATATAACCTAATGAAACTGTGCTACCAGAGTATTTACATATGAAACTATGCCTGGGATTTGCATCAAAATAATCAAGGAATGATCAGATCAGAGACTAGTCATGAGTTGAGTCTTTAAAACTGGCCAATGATTACATGCAGAATTCATTATAGTATTTGCTGTCTTCTACATATATCTGAAATTTCCCATAATAAAAAACAATAGCTATGTGCTAGGAGCAATATTCACTTCAAAGTTCCATACATTCAACTCTCAGTATATCCTGAATTCTCAAATCCTCCTCTTCCATTTTTAGGAATAGATAGATGAATGTGGATCTGGGAGAAAAACAAAAGACCAATTCCCTTTGTACCACTTTCTTCAAGCCATTTTTGGTTCCAATTCTTCTTTTCTTGCTAATTCTTTTTAATAGAATCCCAGTGACTGATGCATGACTTGAACTAGATGCCTAAATCACAGAACGTATGGCAGCAGTGAAATATAAAGAAAAGTAGTCAAAACAAAAGGAACAAAAAATAAGACAGGTAAGAGACGAGTACCTGAAGAAATTCTGTCAATATTGAGATAAGTCTTTATGTTCAGTTATAAATGCTAGCTTCAAATATAGGCATAATAAATTCAGCCTGAGAAATATGTAGGTCCTTTTTTCCTTCCTAAGAACCATGCTTTTTCTGATTAAATTCCAGAGTAGTTCTTCCTTCTTGAATGTCCAAAAACAATGTTAGGAGTAGTATGAGAGCCCTGATATATAAATAATGCTGAACTCTAAGAGTTCCCCACAATCCTGTATCTACTCCATATGCTATTAATATGCTCTGCCTTGAATTATTTTCTGATAACTTTGAATATAACAACCATATTATTTGATATATATGACAGCAACACAACTAAGGGAACTTTATAACTACATTATTCATATTATAACAGATTTCCCTTTAAAACATTTCTTAATAGCTTTTAATATTAAAACTTTATAATTTTTAGTTTAATACAAAGGGATGATATTCTAAAAAAATATCAACAATAATTCCATAAATTCAAAACAATTCTTAGGAAAAAATTAAGGATTAAATTGTTCCTTTTCCAATGAGCAATTATGACAAAAAAAAAAAAAAGAGAGAGAGAGAGAGAGAACTGAGTTAAGTAACATGTGCAATCCAATAATTTTTCCACTGGTATTCTACTTCTCAATCTAATTACGTTTAACGCTGCATAAAATAGCACCTGTTACTTAACGATGGTTATAAACAATTTAACATTCCACAGGTAAACTTTTCCCTTACCTACTACATTGAGATTTGGGGGAAAAAAAACAAAACAAAAAAATCTTGAAAATTAGCAAGAGCTTTGTAACAAATATTATCAAAATATATATTCATATTTGTATTTTTAAAAAAGTAGCATTTAAGTTTATGCCCTTGAATGATTTTCCTAGACAAAGTGAACAACTTCTCTACAACAGTTCTATGATAAACACAATACAATTTAATCTATCGCAAATATATACCCCAAACATATTAAAACTAATCTTATCAAACATTAGTATGTCATACAGTGGCAGTAGAAATAAGCACTTAAAAATCACCTAACTTGTTTCTAATTAACGAAGGATATGGCATATATAATTTAATCATCCTACAAATAGTGTATGTGTTCCAATTTTTAAAATTTATCTACCTCTTTTAAGGGCTGCCATTCTGCCTATTTAATTTAGTTTAGGAGGTACCCTGTTTATGTGTATCAATTTGCTGAAAGAGCTCTAGAATGATAATGCTACTGCCCTATTGTCTTTTAAAAGACATCTAAACAAACTAAAAAATAATTCAGGAGTATTTATAATAATGCCCACTTTCAGGAAGAAGCTAGTACAGTCAACCTTCAATATCCACAAGGGACTGGTTCCAGGACATACACACCTCCCACCTCCATCCCCCATGGATATCAAAATCCACGGATGCTCAGGTACTTTAAAGAAAATGGGACAGTATTTGCAATATAAGCTATACATATCCTCCCTTATAATTTAAATCCCTAGATTACTTATAATATCTCATACAATGTAAATGCTACATAGTTGTTATACTGTATTGATTGTTCAAGGAATAATAACAAGAAAAAAATCTGTACATGTCTCAGTACAGACATAACCATCATACATCTAACTACACAGTATACATTACCAAACAGTGTAACATTTGTCCCCAAAATACTTTCATGTAAGGTTGGTTGAATCCACAGATACAGAGCCTGCAGATAAGTAGGGCCAACTGTGTATCACTATATACAACACCTGTTATTAAGACAAGAACTTGATTTTTATAAGGTATCTTTAAAAAATCTATCTAATGATTGTCAGAAAGACTAAATGAATAGCTTCCATGAGAGCATCCAAACGAGGCCTGGCATACAGGTGGCACTCAATAACTAATATAAAGAATTAAATGATGTCTAAAAATGGCTCATATGAAATATAAAACAGAAAATAAAATTTTATTTTTTAATATTAATAACGACATTTTAGGGTCTTTAAAATTTTGAATAAAAACAGGAACATATTCTAAACTATTCGATTCTTGTGAAAATTTGAGGTAACTACTCATTATAGAATTACAGAACCACCACATTCAAAATAGACATAACCACCACTTCCAACATTCAGTCAATCCTGATTCATTCAAAAGCAGGAAGTGATGAGAAACACAGCCTTTGAAGTCAAAGGCTGAGACTGAAATCCCAGCCATGCCGCTTAGATGTTTGACCTTAGACAAGTTACTTAACTTCTCTGAGCTTAAGATTAGTCTATGAAACAGTGACAACTGTACTTACCTCGTAAGATATGTTGTAAGAATTGAATGAGAAAAACACATGTAAAGCTCTAGTAAGTAAAACCTCAATAAATGCTACCACTACAAATTATTACATGATTTCTATTAAACAAATATTTGAATGCCTATTATATGCAAGAACCTTGGGTATGCTACATAACCCAAACTTATATGACTGAAGATCTGCCTAATGAGGAAATAAAAACTATAAAACTTCTTTCTGTATCTTACCACCCAATTCCATGGTCTATAGTAGCTAAAGACTTAGTTTGTGAACACTAAGTTCAGCAAAGCTTCCTCCTCTTTTCTGCATATCTTAAAACAATCACTCAAAGCTTTCCTGAATTAAAAAAAAAAAAAATTAAATATCTGGAATGCAGCCTGTATGAAGACATGTGAGTGAATGAAATGCTACAAGACAAACAGGAGAGAGGAACTTTTAAAAAAAAATAAATATTTTTATCAGTCAGAAAATTAAAGGCAAGGCTTGTCATAGATACCATATGAAGGGTAACTGAAAGTCTATATAGTCCGTATAAGTTAGAGGCTTGACAGATATGTTTTACACTATTAAATTCTAACTTATATAACCTGTAACTTGGCTCTACTATATCTATTTTGGGAAAAGAAAAAAAATTAGCTAAAATTCGTTAAGAAAAATTAGTCTAGATAAGTATCTATTTTTATTATTTAAAAATTGCTGTATATCCTAAGCCAAATGAAGTTACCTTCTATGTAATTTATAATAGATGCTTAAGGTTATTCTGATTTAATGTTTCAGACAAGTTCTAATACCCACAATATTTTGATACAGAAAAAAGTACTTGCCTTCATATGGTGTGTCTGGAGGTCCTGCTATTTCTCCTCTTAATTCTGTAAAATTCTCATCTACAAGATCTACTTTAATTTGATTTTTGCTCGTCTTAAAAATAAACAGAAAATAAATGTTAGTTATATCAGCAAGAAAAAAAGCCTACTATAAAGTATTACCTATAAAAAATTTTGAAACCCCCTCTTTCATTAGCTTGGTTATCTGCTCTAGTAAAAATAATAGTCTGTGTTTTTCTAGGACTTAATTAGCCAGTTTTAAGAATATTTAAAACGAACAAACAAAAAATAAAACATGTTTCACTTCAATGTTTTTAATGAATTAAAACCACTATGAACAATAGTACAATGGCTTTTTGACTTTATAGGAATGCTTAGAGAAAAACAGCAGACACTTATATTTGCCAACTTCATGTATGTTAGGTCCAAAATGATAAATCAGTTCATTTGTAGATGAACATTGAGATATTACACCCCCAGGTTACATGGGTTCTATTCATATAAACAGAAAATTCAGGGTCAATAAAAGCCATTTAGGCTATAAACTCTCACTTGAATTAAGCACAGCTCTAGATGTTTAGATTAACCAAAATACTACACTATCCATCCAGATGTGAAAGCTCTAAGGGTCTAATTAACTTCCCTTTCTATAAAAATTCCTGAAGCCTAAATGCCTCACTAGAATCATCTCATGTCTTCTTCAATTTGTTCTTCTTAGTTTACTTCAATGGCAACAAACTACTTTACAGATTAACAGATTTTCATTTGAAATTTAATCCATCTATTTATTTTAGACTTTATAATACTTCTCAAAGTACTTTCTTATCTACAGTATCATTTCAATCTCTCAGTCTCTTCTTAACAGTGATTCAGAAACCCTCCAGTGGGATTCACACTAATGTTCACAAGTACTTGTCTGCAAATGGCTCTCCATTTGTATTTTCTGATCTGTATTAGTATCTTACTGGTCTATATTCCTAGTAGATTACCCTCTTCTTTCCTCAATTTTTAAAAATATAAAGACTTGATATGTTATGTGTTCATTTTTTTTGGTTAGAATTTCATATTTTTACCTGAGTAACACAACATAATCTGTTATGAAAGAAAGCCTCGTAATATTTCAAGAGTAAATTTTTGCTTTTGAACCTACCTTCTTAAACTTGCTTCCTCCACCCACTCCAATAGAAGATATTCTTTTTCTGTACTAAATAGTTTCAGTACAGAATGTTAAGTAGAGAGAAAAACATACAACTTAAAACCTAATTTTAAATATTTCATGGTTTCTCATCTTTCAATAAGAATGTAGGATAAATTTTATGCATTTTAAAATTAAACATTCTAATTAGTACTGGTTTATTTAATCTTTTTTTATACTTGGGGTTAAAGTACTATTTCATATATTTCTGAAGATAATTTTACCCCAAAATTAAGTTATAAATATGCATAATGGGAAATTTTTTCCTGTGCCCTAAAAAAAAAATCATCATCACCCTGGTATTTGTGATAAAGGATTAAATGCACAATTTTAGCACAATTTTAGCAACGGTAAAATACTTTCTCCAGTGTGCACAGCAATTAACGTTAAAATGAAAATCAGAGGCATCAGACCAATTTATAAGGAGCCACAAGTGTAACTACAGACTTCCATTTCTCCCAGGATTTCTAAGTAAAACAAGAGTAATCAGATCTTGCAAATCAACAATGCTTTCAAAGTTCTCTATTGCTTCCCACAATACACCATTACCAAAAAGAAGTAAATAACCCCAAAATGTGAGGCTACTGAAGGAAAGGATTAGATTAAAGTTTGGAGAAAGAGAGGAGGAGGTAACAGAAATTAGAAAAGCTGCCTTTCAGGATCTGCCTGGGTAGCTCTATTCGTGAGAGTGCTGTCCTGGTATGCCAAGGTTGTGGGTTCAGTCTCCAGTCGGCGCACATACAACAATCAACCAATGAATGAATGCATAAATAAGTGGAATAACATGTTAATGTTTGTCTCTTGCTTCATCGCTCTTTATAAAATCAATAAATTAAAAAAAAAAAAGATGCCTTCTAGATTGCCCAGCTGTGTTGGTTAGTAAAATGCTAAATAAACAATTATTAATTTTTGTATCTCCATCTTTATTTTTGTTCTCATTACCCTCACATTATAATTGAGAGAAAAATGGGTCTTTCAACTCTATGAAAACTTTACTAAAGTAGTCAAGAAAATAGAATCACCATGGTGAAATCCATTATAAAGAAGCATTCTACAGTCTAGAGTAGATCTTTATCTGCAGATAACCAAAGATAAAAAGGAAATGGTGAGTTAAAGACAGGTTTTTCACAGCTTAATTTTCCCATTTATAACAATTATCCTTTATTACTTCCACAGTTTAATTCAATCATTCACAATCCAGAACCCCAATCCTATGCCCTCACAGACTAACTCAAAATCCCACTTGAGACTCAAATTCCACTTTGGGGTTAGACAGATGTGAGCTGAATCACAGTTCTGCCAATTACTTGTGGTGTTAATTCAGGTAGGTCACTTAACATCTCTCCCTTTTATTACTGTAAAATAAGAATACATATCTCAGAATTATGTGAGAATCTCCTGGATAAAAGTAGGGGATGTTGTTCCCCTAATATTAATTACAAAAAATGTTTGGTTTCAAAGCCTTATTTTATAAAATGTAGTCACAGTTTTTTTTTAGTCCAATAACAGAAATGTAATTTCTAAAAATAAATAACACAACAATGCGTTATTTATTTTACTGACTGTAACAACCAGGAAGACTAACTAAGTCTTTTGGATGAAACCTTGAAGAACTGTGTTTGGTATCACTGCACTACATTTTTTTGGTGACAACAACTGCAAAGTTGCTTCTCTATACTTCTCCCAACTCAGCTAAACTCTGGCAGTCCTAACTTTTATAATGTTCCCTTGTAGCTCCAATATGTTTCTACCACATAAAAGGAAAAAACATGAATAGAAACTACAGTTCCTTAGTAAGCATTTCAAATAAACTATTTTATTAAGATATAATATACATAAAGTATGCAAAGTAGCACACAACGTTGAAGTTAATTTGGATGTGGTAAATAAATGAGCATTATTGCTGATAAACGATAGTGCAGAATTTAAGGCAATTTAAATAGATTTCCAAGGCCAAGTCTCTTGCTGAATTGATATCATCTTCACAGAAATCTTTCAAGTACTTCCTGGGGTCTACTATATGCCAGAAAGCAATTTCAAATGTTAGAGTACAAAATTAAGTTCCTGTCCACTGGGAGCTTACATTCTAGTACAGAACTGAAAATTAAAACTTTATCATAGAAGCACAGGAATCTTTCAACTACTTCCTGGGGTCTACTATATGCCAGAAAGCAATTTCAAATGTTAGAAAACAAAATTAAGTTCCTGCCCACTGGGAGCTTACATTCTAGTGCAGAGCTGAAAATTAAAATTTTATCATAGAAGCATTAAGTATAAAGCATTTTGTTATTTAACTTGTTTAAAATTTAACATATGACCTTGAGCCAGTTAAGTAATCACTCTGTACATACTTCAGTTTCATCCTCTGTCAACTGGGGGTTAAAACAGTACCTACCACATAAGAGTTTCATGAGGGAATTTAGTGAATTAAGACAGTATATAGAATGACAGCCACACAGTAAATGCATTAAACACAGAATGTTTAGTAGCCACTTCACAGGGTAACATGTTGACTTTTGATAATGTTATAAGAGAAAACTCCCACCTAAAGCAAGTATTTTTAAAGGCTAATTTATCACATTAGTCTCACTTTTATCTAATGGAAATTTGTTATAAAACAAAATTTAAATTCAAATTTGAGATAAAACAAATATAATTCTAAATGACACCTAAAGTTATAGATAAATCTCATATGCTATAAAGAAACTATTAATTTGCTTCCTAGTCAAATCACAACTATCAATATTTAGGGTCATAGCTCATCACAATAGTGCAAATAAATGTGAACTTCAATTCTTCTGAATTTGCTGAAAATGAGGCTTAAATGGTCGAACAGTTGTCATAATTTAATGTAAGTGACTAATCTTTCTCCCGCTATTCCAAAAAACAAGAAAGATTTTCACCTTTTAAGCAGTTGAATTAAAACGTGGTTAAGAGGCTCTGGCCAGATAGCTCAGTTGGTTAGAGCATCATCCCACTATGCCAAAGTTGTGGGTCTGATCCCTGATTAGGGCACAATACAAGAAGCAACCAATGAATACATAAATTCCATAAATAAATGGAACAAATCGATGTTTCTCTCTCTAAAATCAATAAATAAAATAAATATATTTTTAAATGTTCTTAGAATAGCTTGGGGCATGTCACATTCCCAAAGCAGGGATGACATGAAAACTGAGAGACTAGAAAGACAGTGGGAAACTGAAGGCATAGGAACACATTTATGGTCTTACTGAAAAAGTTCTAGACCAGTGTTGTCCAGTAGAAATATAATGTAAACCACAAATGTAATTTAAAGTTTTTAAAGTAGTAATCACATTAAAAATAAAATAAGAAATTAATTTTAATATATTAACCTCCAATATATAAATTATCATTTTAACAAGTAATCAAAATTAAAATTTCTGAATTTTTTTTAATACTAAGTTTTCAAAACCCTGTGTACAATTTATAAATATAGCTCATTTTCAGTCTGGACTGGCCACATTTCAAGTGTTCAAAAGCCACATGTGATGGACAAGGCAAATCCATAGATAAAAGAAAGTTAAGTTTTGGTTGTCAGAAAAGGCCGGAGGAGGGGGAATTTTTCACGGTGATGAAATGTTCTAGAATAAGTGGTAATAGTTTACAAACTTGTGATTTATACTAAAAACCACCAAATTTAAAATCAAAAATAATACTTTTAAATGTGAAGAAAAAGTCACATGTAACTAGTAGCTACAGTATTGAACAGTGCAGCTCTAGAGAAACAGCAAGTAAAAGCCTCTCCACCTACAGCAATATTGTGCCATTAAAATTTTACTTTCTAAACTTCTGTCCTCACACTTCACACAACCTACAATGCAGGATAATTAAAGTTCTGATCACAGTGATTCAATAAATACTGAGTACCTACTCTTTGCAAAACAAATTAGGTACCAGTGGTAAAACGATCACCCAGAAATGTTCTCTAACCAACTCTATCTCCATAAATAGAGCTTTCATTCTAAGGTATTAGACAATGAATTATATAATTTTTAATTGAAGTATAGGATACCATGAAAGTAATATTTGACAGAGAAAATCTGGAAGGTATGAAGAGACTTCCCTAAAAAAAAAAAACCTACCTTTAAAAGACTTAGCTAGGTAAAAGCCAATGGTGGCATTTTAGACAGAATGCCAAACCCATATAAAATAGAGGCAAAGGGCTTGGTATGTTTAGGAACTGAAAAGCCACCAACATGACTAGAATAGGCAGAATAAAAAGCAGAAATGAGGCAGGTAAAGACAGCAAGAGCCAGACTTTATAGGGTCAAAAACAATGAGAAACATTTAAAGTTGTGACATGACAATCAGATCTGGATCTTTACAATCTTTGTAATGCCTACAGGGAGATTAAAGAAGATACAGGAAAAAAAAGGTTAAAAATACAGAAAGAATGATTAGAAAGTCCACTGAGATGAAGAAAAGTGGATGAATTAAAAGAGATTGTGTTAGCAGCCAATTGGCACCAGGTGTTAAGACTTTGGTTCAGCAACCCGGATACTACAGCTAGGGCTAAGAAAGAAGTCAGAGCCAAGACTCAAACTGTAAGAGGAAGTTTATTTAGAAAGTCACAGAAGTAGAAAAAATGGGCTCAGGAAACGAGTTACAGAGGCAAAAGAAGGGCCTTTGGAACCTAGGAGAAAGCTGGACAGAGATACACAACTTGAGGGACAAAAGAGGAAGGAAAGGCACAGAGGTGCTCAGGAAAACAAGCCCTGAGAAAAGGAGGAGGCAGGTTAAGGCTTCCATGTTCCATCCCCAAGGCTTTTATCTGGTCTCAGGGGAGGATCTCAATAGAATATTCATTAGCTTTTCCTCAAGGTCAAGTCTCATCTGATTAATCAGTACCAGAGAACCAGGTAATTAGTCATTGCAGCTGGTCCTGATGTCAACCATGGCATTGCTCTGTCTGGTTTTCTAGGCCTGGAGTTGAAACACAGCTGAGGTCTACATGTCATTCATCTCCAAGGGTTAATGCTTAAGGGGAGTGGTCTTCCAAGGACTTATAATTCTGCCCCTTGCTAGGCACCCAGGGCTCTCTGCTTTGGTGACCCTCTGCACCTGGCCCATCATTCCTGCTCTGTTCATCCCTATCTAACTTCTTAGTATAATTGGAAGTAAAATGCATAGGATTTAGTTACTACATACTGAAAGTGTATGACCTTAAGGAGGAAACAAGGATGACTTAGAATTTTGGTTTTAAACTGGGTGGATGATAGTATAATAAACTAAGATAAGGAAGTAAGAAACTGAGGGGTCAAGACTTTGGGGAAGAAGAAAAATCAAATACAATCTCAAATATAATGAAAATAGGTATGAAATCTACATAAATTCAATGGGCCAAGTAGACTGCTGAAAACTCAGGTCTAGAGCGCAGGGTGGTCTAGGCTGAATGACTGTCTAGGCTGAAGACAGGTGCCTAGGCTAAAGACAGAAAAAAACCAGGACAGGCTGTTATCACTGGTACCAAAGGAAGAAAAACATTTCAGTGGCAGAGTGGCTACTACTGTTGATGAGAGATTAACAATGATGATAATACTTGCACAGCACCTTATGAGCAGTATTTTAAATGATTTAAATGTAATAACTCAACCGTCATAACAATCTAACATGTTTACCAACAAGGACACTTAGATACAAGGAGGTCACATAGATATTAGTGAAGCCAGGTTTCAAAAATGACTCCCGAGCCAATCTATTCATGGGCTCTAAGATACCATTAATAATAGGATGCCCTGATGTATGCCACGAAGGAATAAACACTGCCTCTTACATTATCACATAATATTTTATCATTTAAAATTGCTATTTCACACTTAGTGAAGGAGAAGTTACAATACACTTAATGCTGCATTAAGAAAAAAAATAAGCAAAATGATTATTTTGTTCACATAGCATACTTCCAGAAGAAACTGGCAAAAGTGGTTCCCTTAAGATAGGAAAACTAGGACCATGGTGCTGTCTAAAAATTATTTTAAACACATACACGTATAACTTTTGCTGTAAAACACTTTATAAAGACTGACAGACTGAGCAACAGGGAGGTCTTTGCAAAGTGAAAACATTTACTAATACCTTGGTTTGCATCAGAGAACATGCAGAATTATAAAAAGTAAGTAAGTATAATTTTAAACAGCAATCTCAACATTTCTAGAAAAATGAACAAATAACCAGTGAATTAATAAGTAACTTATTAATACAACAAAAGCTTGAAGATACACTAACAATTTTTAAAAAGTTCCTTAAATATATACATTTTCACAAAATTACTGAACATTTCCTAGAGGGACACAAATTAATAAAACTGGCAACGTATTCAACATGTCTATATCACAATGTAATTAAAAAAGATGTCAGTACACAGCTACTTAGAAATATTCAAGTAATTTGTTCAGAAATATAAATAACAAAAATCAAAATTAAGAATTTATTTTAATATATATTTTTAATCTTTATTAATCAAGGTTAA